ACCCAGCAAACTTGCAATTGTACTTTTTCTGAAACAAAAATTCTCAATTACCTAACATAATTTTGTCCATTTAAACTAACAGCATCTAAATAGAAAACCATTTGCTTGGTAAGATAGTTTTTGATATGTTTATCTTGTTGCATTCAACAATTTGAATTTTAATGTCTCAAATATATAGTCACGGGACAGAAAGTTTCAATTTTTTGATTGCACCGAGAAAATAGTCTAGTTGACTATTCGTCTTCAGCTATCTGTAATATAGGGTTAAATCATTCACACATTCTGCACTGAGATATCTAAAAAGAGCTAGCCGGATCCATGGTTGAGAAATCTTGCTATGATGCGTAAATTAGCCATTATGACATAACTAGTTTCAAAGGTTAAATTGCTGTAGAGGCACCCTCGCAAACGCTCAAGAATTTGTTTTTTTTCGGGCTAAAAATGGTTATTTGAAAGCTGACTCGCCCTCAGTGCCGATGAGTTCTTATCGATTCTATTGCCATTTTAAAATTTTCTCAGAAATTACAACAGAATCGTTTATAATTGATTTTAAATGGATTATAACAAATATATTTTTTTCGTCTGTATGGTCAATTTTGATCAAATAATCTTGATTGCAAAAAAAATAAGTTTTCGATGAAATTCTGACGAGATTTACAAGTTCGTTTTTGAATCATCTCATTTGCGGTTTAGTTCAGTTGCTAAATATAACGTTTCTTTACTTTTTGTTTCACATCAATTTTTATATGTTCTCAGTTTTTCTCAACTCACATCATTTATCATTTCATTTCGATTTTACCACATTCACCATTAGCTCCCCCTGCCCCAAGTTTCATCAAAGAACGTCCCTGCTGTGATCAACCAACTACCTCTCTTTCTACATTGAAAACATCCCCCATTTACCTCGCTTAGCGTTTTTTTATTTAATCAATTTTTAAAATTATAAATTGAATTTTTAACAATTCAATTGAAAATTTTTTCAAAAAAAAAATTTTTTTTGTTAAAATCAATTACTTTTATATCAGTCAGGATAAAAGTTGAAGTTACGATACAAGGGAATAGAAAATTATTTAATGATTTGAAGCTTCTTACTTTAACTCGAGGTTGTTAAAAATGGCGAGGTTGAGAGCTTGGACGGGAGGTGGAGTGAGATTCGGATTTGATGGTTGCTGGTGTTTCTTTTGAGCACGAACAGTTCAAGACATTTCATAGATTTTCTAGCAAATTTTCTGCAAAAAAAATTCCAAAATTGACCAATTTTAGAACTGAAACAAAATAGGAAAACCAATCATCGGCAAATTATTCGAGTTCAATTTAGAAGTAACGATAAATTTTTGTGCTCGGCGTGGTTTTCTTTTCTTCAGATAATATTCAACTTTTAAAAAAGCCATTTTTGATTAATTTTTTTACATCATTCCAAAGTTATTGTTGTCTTGAGCTTAAAATTGAAAAAATAAATTACCTGTGATCATTTATCGTTAAGTTATGGGGATTTAAGGATTACCATTTTGGCCATTTTGAGCCGATGAACGGGCGATATGTTTTGCGCTATTAACGCTTAAGCGGAGATTTAATCTGTCTTAGAAATTGTTCCAAAACGGTTGAACGAAGCTTATTTGCCATACTTGAGTTTTATTGTTTCGTTTCGTTTTATTTTTTTATGTTTTCTTTTTACATGTTATTACTGCTCTATAGACCTCAAAAGGCAGTCGGAATATTCAAGGCTTCGCCCTGATACAAGCAGTCTTGTTATTCTTTAAACGCAATTGCGGGAAAATTTGATTTACTCTTTATGCCACGGAAAAACAACAGGTATAAAAATTGAAATAGTTGTTTGGTCCGTCGCCAAAAGGATAAGCGATAATCTGCGAAATACTCAAATTTAATGATTTATGATTAAATATATATTTTCAAAAAAAATCTATTCTTATGACAATAGTTTCCATTTTGCGTTCTAATGTTTACAAGCGCAACTGATTGAATGGTTACGTTTTCTCTCCAAAATCTACAAATTTCGAGTATAATTTTTTAAATATAAATGCGGAAAAGCATGATTTACTCATTATGCCGCAGAAAAACAACAGAAGTAAGAACGGAAAAAGTTGTTTCAGGTGATTATTTTTGCGCTGATAATCAAAACAAGACTGCTCGTATCAAGGCAAAGCCCTGATTGTTCCGACTGCTTTTTAAGGTCTATAGAGCAGTAATAACAGAAATATCATTAACAAATTAAATATAATAAAGAAATGAATTTTTTTTAAAAAAAAATTGAAATTTTTTCTATGAAAATCATCCCCCACACGCCATATAAACTACAAAAGAATAGATTTTGCTCCTTGTAACAAATCAATTATGGGAAATAAGCTTCTTTCAACCAATTTGGAACGATTTTAAGACTGATTAACTCTCCGCTTACACGCGTATAGCGCAAAGAATATCGCGCGTTAATTGTCCCAAATTGGCCAAAATGGTAATTTTTAAACCCCCATAACTTTACGAAAAATGATCATCACAGGTAAAATATATTTTCAAATTTGCTTGAAATTCTATGATATGGCCTGAACTGTTCGTGCTCAAAGAAACACCAGCAACCATCAAACCCCAATCTCACCCCACCTCCCGTCCAAGCTCTCAACCTCGCCTTTAAGAACCTCGAGTTAAAGTAAAACGGCTTCGAATAATCAAATAATAATCTAATTTTTTGTACAACAAGATTAATTTTTTTCGTGGTTGTTATAAAAGTATTTGATTCTAACAAAAAACCAATTTTTATTGGAACCTTTTTCAATAGAACAGATCAAAATTTAACTTAGAAAAAAATTCCGAGCTCAAATATTCCGTTAGTTTTGTTAAGAAAGTCGTAACAACAATCCAACAAACACTTACACCGAAAAAAGAAAACAGGAAAACAAGAGCTGTCGTCCATGCATAGTATTTCAATAAGACGTTATGCTGTTCTTAATTTCTGTGCTTTTTAAGAAAAAAATGACCAACAATTTTTAGTGTCTGTTTCTTTATATGTTGATCACCGCCTCCTTGTATTAATGAACCACATTGACCGACACTTCTTTTAGCTCTAATTGCATCTGAGATTCTTATAAATGTTTTTCTTATGATTATGATTCTTTTGAATTTCTTTCCTAAAAACTATCAGTTTATGATTTTCAGTTATACTTTGTTCTAGGATGATAAAAATCACCATGCTATACTAGTATGCGAACGATTGATGTTGAATTTTCAAAGCCGGTTTTTATATACTAAAGCTTGGTAAAGGTGGCGGGCGTTGTTGGTGAACGTGGACGGAGGGCAAGTTGTGGTACAACGGTTGCATTTGTTTTTTTTAGCAACAGCAGTTAGAGACATAGCATATAGGTTTCTTGCAAGGTTTCTGCAAAAAGTTAGGACTAATTTTAGATCTAAGACGAACTGGAATATTCAATAATATGCAATTTATTCGATTGTAATAGTTCAAACTGGATTTTTTTTATTTTAATAAATAATCTATCTAATGTAATGGATTAAAAAAAACTTTTGGTGCCAAAAATAATGGACTAATGGACTAGCATTGATTATACTGGATTTTTTTTTTCAAACATAATCAATTATAATGACAACCAGGGGCGGATCTTAGATTTTCTCGAGGGGGAGGGGTGTTTCAAAAAAATTTCGAAAACTTTGTCGACTCTTATTTTAGGTTGACCAAATAGATTTTCCGAGCTCTCCGAAAGCACTAAAAAGACTCTGTTTTGACTAAATTTTCTGAACCGCAGGCAAAAATTTGAAAAAAACGGGCCTAAAAAGGCGTTTTTACGCACTTTTTAGATTTTTTTTTTCGGAGCGTACTCCCCCTCAAAATTAGTATATATTAGCGCCACAGGCGTCGTTACAAAAATTTTAGGGGTCCGTCACCAAAAATAGATATCTCGAAATAGTACAAAGAAGGGACCCTTTGGGTCAGCAGGGGTTCGAATCCGTGAGGGGGGTATTGCATTTTTTCGGAGCGCACTCCCCCCTCAAAATTAGTATATATTAGCGCCACAGGCATCGTTACAAAATTTTTAGGGGTCCGTCACCAAAAATAGATATCTCGAAATAGTACAAAGAAGGGACCCTTTGGGTCAGCAGGGGGTCGAATCCGTGAGGGGGGGGTGTTGCATTTTTTCGGAGCGCACTCCCCCCTCAAAATTAGTATATATTAGCGCCACAGGCGTCGTTACAACATTTTTAGAGTCCGTCACCAAAAATGGATATCTCGAAAAAGTACAAAGAAGGGACCCTTTGGGTCGGCAGGGGGTCGAATCCCTGAGGGGGGGGGTTCAATTTCGTCGCATCATAACCGAAAGTTATTTTTTTACTTAGGTGTGGAGTGAGCTTGACTTGCTTATCATGATTCACAAAAACAACAGACATAAAAGTTGAAAGCTTTGTTCGGATAAATTGTTTCGAGTATTTTTGCGATGATGACCGGAACAAGCCAACAAAAAAAAACAGATTAACCAAAAAGTTTTACAAAAGTGACTAGTCTGATCTGATACATGCATAGGTTTTTAATAAGCAAATAAGCTATCCTCAATTTTTGTCCATTTATTGAGGTATAAGCACCCAACACTTTAATGTGTCTGTGTCGTCAAACAGACACGTTGGTTTTCTGACGACGGACCCATTATTAACTCTTTTTCCGACTTTTACTGCAACCTGAAGAGTAATTCAAGCCCTCAAACCCATCAAGTTCTCAAAGAACCCTTGTGAACCGATAAATCCTAATTCCTTGATTGGTTTGCGAGGATGTTTGCTCAGTAAGATAAACTCTGAAACTAGTTACGATATACTGGCTAATTTACCTGTTCAGAACAAGATATCTTAAGCCTTGTTCCGGCTAGTCCCTTTCAAATCTTAAATAGCTGCAGAGAAAACCACAAAAACGTAAGAAAAAGACATTTTATTTGCTGTTTGAAATAAAACGTTGCAATTCTATGTCCCAAGGCTATACATTTTTTCAGAAAATTGCAACTGATTTACAAAAGCGTGTTAAGGAAACAGAAAAAAAGTCGGCGTCGCAGAAATCACCATGACGGATCCTTTTGAGTCGCCGACGAAGAGCAGGAAGGTGTTAGTTCCGGTAGACGGGAGTCCGGACAGTGAGAGAGCGTTCACGTGGTACGTTGCCAATATGAAGCAGGACTCGGACATAGTGCGGGTGTTCCACATACCCGAACCAATCTCCCTCCCTCTCTTCACCCTCAGCGAAGGTTAGTTCTCAAAATGCCAATGACCTCTTCTTTCTTTCTTTGTCTTTTTCGGTTGCTGTGAAGCGCAGTGTAGGTCTTAACTTATGAGTAAAGTAGGCTTTAATATCAGTAGGCTTTAAAATCCTAACGAAACAAGTATGTTTATCGAATATGTCTTAATTGGGACTTACATAGCTCAACTATAGCGGTGGCAAAGGTGAAAATTATAATAATATTGTTTTCAGATTCTTAAATAAAATATACAAAGTTGATGTTTTGTACACTGAAAAATGGGGAAGTATTTTTTTGGATGTGTTTTAAAGTTTTTCCTCGCAAAATCAGGTACTACGAAATTCATCAGAGTGATATATCATACTTAAGCCCTTTCAATCTTGATTAGAAAAGAGTTCTTTTCAAGATTGCATTGAAATAAACTGCGCAATTTTTAAAAAGTTATATAAGTTCTTTGGTCATTTTTGATGCTGTTAAATTTTCTGTGATATTTACACCGCAACCGGTTTTTCTTGTATATTTTCTAATTAATTTAATTTTGAATGAGACAAGGCCATTAGATTCAAAAAAAGAATGTCAATAATATTAAAATAATAGATTGTTTCCAGTATAGGTTCACACATTGATCAATATAATTTATATGTATGACCAGTTGAAAGAACCCCTTCTGGGAGATCGTCATTAGACAATTTCTGCATGTTTTCAGACGTCTCTGAGCGCAAAAAAGAACAGCAGGTTTTAATTTGGATAATAGCGTCAATAGTACTTCTTTTTTGTCTGAATCCGAACTCAAATTGATGTAATATATATTGATGATTAACGAAATCTAAAACTCGGTTGTATATTATTCGTTCTAATTTTTTTTTGCCAAAGACAGGAAAACGTAATATAGGTCAAAAATTGGAAGGTTCGTTTTCATTTCCGTTCTTTATGTGTAGGTATCACTTTTGCAGTTGTGAATGAGCTCGGAAAAATGTTGTTGCCAGAACATTTCTGATATCAAACAGTTAGAAGAGGCTTCAAAATTTCTCTTATTGAAAGAATGTAAACATGATTGATGTTTTGGTAATACAGATTGAATTTCTTTTTCAATTTTTCTAAGATTTGTGCAGTTTCATAGCTTGTCACTGGTCTCAAAAACATTGCTTTTTCTACATCTTTTTTGCTGTTGTCTGATGTGTGGTTTATGGAAAGGGTTTGCCTATATTCACAATTTTTTGCCTATATTCACAAAATAATTGTTGAATAAATCTGCATCTGTGATAATATTCTCACTTGGCAAAACACTTGTCAAAACACCAAACAATTGAAAAAATGCTTTTCTGTTTTTTTGCGGCTTGCGTCTGCAGTTTGTTCTGATAAAAATCTTTTTACTTTTTGCTCTCATATTTTTGACCAAAATAATTTGCAATTTTTATTTATCTCTAGCCTCTGCAGTCCTGTTTATCTTGAAAAGACTTTTAAGCCAATTCTTATTGATTGCTGCATTTTAACTTGGTTATCAATCCAAAAGGTTTTGTCTTCATGTACTTTTATTCGTTTATCTGGGACAAGTGAGAAGTTATTTCAATTCATTTCAATAATTTATATCTAAAAGACAAAACTATCGAGTAAAAACGAAAGGATAAAAAAAATTGGAAAAAGACGACAAGCATAGTGCCGCTGCCAGCCGATATATTTTTTAAAGTTGAAAGCTTAAAAAAAAACAAATTGATGATTTGAACATTAAACACTTCAACCAACTCAGCTGTAGTTTAATTTTGCCGAATCATGATACCTTGATTATTACGTTATCTATAAAGGTCTGGTTAATGAATTAGTTTCAGTTGATCAGTCATCCAATATTGTTTCTTCAAAGTTGATCTAAGGCCAATTTGTATGATTAATGATACTTTTTTGTTTTTTGAGCACTTAAAACACTTGTCTAGGTCTTAGTTTTTTTGGTACGTGAGATTTTTGAGAAAATGTGTTTTGCAAGGCTTCAACGGAATCTTCAGTTTCAACCATTTGCACAGAGTTATTGGTATTTCCTAGAGATGTAAATCACTAACACTGCAAGGCAAAAAAAATTGGTAAAATTTTTGAGAGTCTCATCTAAGTTTTTCTGAAAAAAAGCGCTGCTAATTGAGTAAAGTTTGATCAAGCTTTCTGATTTGAATAATTTAAGCTGATATACATTAAAATTTTCTATATTAGATGAAACACTCAATATAATTTTCTTACGCGTGTTTTTTCGGACCATTTGGAAAATGTGTGAAAACTTTGTGTTCAGGTAGATTTTAGGTTTTTCTTTTTTTCCTTTTTTTTCGCGCAAAATCAGATAACTTTGTATTCAGGTTGAGTTTAGGTTTTTTCTTTTTTTTGTCCTTTTTTTCGCAAATTCAGAAATCTTTGCGCACCACAAATAATCATTGGAGTCAGTACAGCGATAATTTATAATAAAACCCTTCCAGTTGCGATTCGAACGACATTTAAAAATTTCCAAAAACGTTTCCCAGTCTTGAGAAAAAACGGTTTGAAAGTTTGAAGTTTTAGTCCAATTTTGAGCGAGTAAAGCAATCGAGTAACCTTTGTTATACAAAACCATTGGCCATTTAGGTAGAAAAAATAAAGATTTTAGCAAAAATATAGCCGGTTTTGGAAGCTGCCTTAAGTATTTTTCTTCACTTTTTCGTTTATTTGTTTTTTCAAGTCAATTGGAGCGTTTCATGCGTAACTCACTATTTTTCTCTGCGTTTGTATACTAACTATAGTCACGTCATGCAAATGAAGCAACGCTAAATTGAAGATAGAAAAATTTTTTCTTAATAGTTTTTACGAATATGGTCGGAGCGTTCGGTGCTAGATGCACAGCCACTGGCTATCCTTGTTTCGATTTTGATAAATTTTGCCGAGGAGAGTTATCATTTTTGCTGTATTCTGCAGTTTTTAGTTTCATTTTCAATTGGTTCAAATGCTCTTTTAAAACCTTCCTTCTTCCTTTACATACTTGTTAGTAGAATTGATATTTTTTCTACCAACAGTTGCTTTTACTTACTTAATTTGTCTCTCTTTGCTGATGTTTTCTGTCAACTAAAATTGTCTAAGTAGGTTCGTTTTTGAAAAGCTTTTTAAATCGATATGATGTCTTATTCCCATCCAAAGACAGTGTATTGTCAAGTATCTCTGAAAATTTTCAATAGTTTTTCCGCAGTCAATTGAGGAAAAAGTTCCTAAGAACAGTTTCAAATAATTGCCAATACTTATAATCTGGAATCGTTGTGAATGATTTGTTCGAGTGTCTAAATTTTTATACCTACATTTTTCTAACCATTAATTAATGTTTTTTTTATGTAACTTTTTAAATCACCTTGAAATCATACCAAACAATTTCAGCCAATCAATCAGACTCAGTAAAGTCAGCGCGATCACTTTCGTATTTCACAACAACTTCCAAATGGTCAGGCTGAAATTGTTGGTAGGAAACTATTGCATGTTGAAACTCATGGAAACTGTTTTGTAGTGATCTAGTAAATTGACGCCGAACGCTGTTAGAGAAAGAAGTCGATTTAATCTTTGTCTAGCTGAGATTTTTTCTTAAAAAATGCTCACTCGCACTGAGCGCCCATGGATTCCCGAGACAAAAATAATCAATTGCAATCCATTAAAGATTTAAAATTCGCACCACGAAATTGATTCTATTGCCATTATGATCGATTATTTTGAAAAAAATAATAGCCTTTATAATCCATTATAATCTATTATAATTCATTATTTTCGGCAAAGAAATCTATTAGCTTTGCCAAGATAATCCATTATAATTGATTGTTTTTCAAATAAAAATCTTTTATAGTCCATTATAATCGATTATAATCCATTTTATTTTCAGAACTAATTTCGATTATTTTTGCAGAAGTTTTGCAAACTTAGCAAAAATTTGAAATTGTATGCCATGTCTTATAGTAAATGCCTCAACGTCTTTCCCTCAAGTTTTTTAAACTCCTCGCAAACAAAAGAGAGGTGGTAAACTGAGGGAGGGAGGCTAAACTATGGGGAGTGAACTGTGGTGGGGGGGGGGGGGGGTTGATTAAACGGGGGGATGGGTTAAACTGGTGGGAGGGGGGTATGGTAAACTTTAAACGGGGGGTGTAGAACGGTGGGACTGGAAGGAACTAGTGTGGGGGGACTGGGGTGGAGGGACTGGGGGGGGGGGGGGGGGGTGGGTAAGCTAGGGTGGGGGGATTTTTAACCACTAACATACTTCACCAAACTCTACCAATAAATAATCCCCCAAGTTCAACCGTAAGGGGTGGGGGGGGGATGAATGGACTTTGTGGTTAACTGGCACGGAGGGGGGGGGGTAAAGAAAAAAGTGGGGTGTAAACTGAGATGAAATGAAAAGTAGAGGCAAAAAATATGTAAATTTTAAGGTGAAATGTAACATTTTATGAAACGTAATACGTAGCAACTGCACATTACAGGAAATGAGATAACTTTGAAAAAAGTTGTAAGTTTCATGATAAACCTCTCAAAAAATCCATAAAAAAAATCTGCATGATCTTGATTCTAAAATTTTTGCTTCCAGATTCGATACTGGAACCCGAGGACCACGCTTAAACCGGATTTCCAATTATCTATTATATTTCCTCAACTTTTAGTAGTGTGTTTTTAAATATACGCAGTTTTACCAGCGGAATTATATACACAGTGTCAAATGCGGATTTTTGCAAATTTTGTCGAGCATTTTTTCAGGTCGACTAAATAGATTGCAAATCTGGCAAATTCTGGCAAATCACTATGAAGAGCCCATTTTGATCAAATTTTGTGCACCGCAGGCAACTTTGAGAAGCAGATGTTATGCACATTGTGAAAGCGCTTTTAGGCCGTTTTTGGATAATGTTGATCAAAAATTGTGTTTTTTTAGCGAAATCAAAGTTAGAATATTTTGACGCCGAAGGCGCCATTGAAATATTTTTAGGGTCAGTCAGCTAAAAACGGATATCTCAAAATAGTACAAAGGGGGACTCTTTGGGTCGGCAGGGGGTCGAATCCCTGAAAAAAAAACGAAGTTAGCCAATCCCGCCCCTCCCCTAAATCCGCTGGTGACAGTGTATATTTAAAAAAAACCACTATTGAAAATTGAGGAATAATCCCGGGGTTGTCTCCCAAATTCCGGAGTTATCTCCTACTCAATCGCGTAATTGCCTCCCTAATTCCGAAATTGCCATCTTAATCCTGGAAGAGCTATTTTGACGGAATTTAGAGTTTCAGTCTCAGACGACTACTTTTTAAATCATAAAATAGACTGTTGAAAGGACATTATTTGAAATATTTTAACCCAACAAAAATTTCGAGCTTTTGCGAAAGAGAATTCTCGATCGATTGATCTTTTACATAGAAGGAATTGAGCAAAAAACTTGATTAGCGTTCAGTTTTTTGATGATTTCTAGTGAAGTGGGATTATATAATTACTGTTCATAGGCTCGTTTGTTTTTTATGGTTTCAGGCGTGAACACTCCATTTAAGAAGTGGGAAAATAAGTTGCAGGATAAGCTGAAGAAAGTGACCGAATTGGAAGCTCACTACAACTACAAACTAATCAGCTGCAAACTAGCTTCAAATGGATCAGTACTCATCTCACAGAATGAGGTAAAGAGGAACTATCAATCAACCTATAAATCAGAAGCGTCCCCCCCCCCCCCACCCTCAGGGATTCGACCCCCTGCCAACCCAAAGGGTCCCCCTTTGTACTATTTTGAGATATCTGTTTTTGGTGACGGACCCTAAAAACTTTTTAAAAGCGCCTTGGGCGCCAATATGTAATAATTTTGAAGGCGAAACGCGAGCCGAAAAAACGCAAATTTTGTGTCAAAATTTTCTATAGAGTGCATAAAAACGCCTTTTTGGCCTGTTTTGTCAAAACTTTGCCTACGGCGCAATAAATTTGGTCAAAACAGGGTCTTTGTAGTGCTTTGTGAGAGCTCGACAGAATTTTCAATTATTTTTTGAGAATCAGCCCCCCCTCCCCTCGAGAAAATCAAGCTCGTAAAGTTTGATTTATAATTCAACCAAGAGATTATTAATCTACCTTTTCGAGCTTTGTTGTTGCCAAAATTTTTATCATTTTTATGACAAATATTTTTCTAGATGCACTTGATCTATCAATCTTTTTCAGTTTGGTTTATGAAATTCAAACATCTGCAGGGGCGGATTTAGGAGGGGGGCGGGGGGGTGCTGACGCCCCCCCCCCCCTCTTCTCAGGAATTCGATCTCCTGCCGACCCAAGGGGTCCCCCCTTTGGTATTTTTTAGAAATCCATTTTCAGCCGACCGACCCTTAAATTTTTCTAAAGGCGCCTTTGGCGCCAAAATATACTAATTTTGAGGGGAGAGCGCGCGCCGAAAAAACGAGATTTTTTGGTCGAAATTTTCCGAAAAGTGCCTAAAAACGCCTTTTTCGACTGTTTTTCAAAGTTTCGCCTGCGGCTCAGAAAATTTGGCCAAAACAAAACAGGGACTAAACCTGCTTAGGGCGAGCTCAAAAAATCAATTCAGTCGACCTAGAAAAAAAAAGGTCAACAAAATCCGCCCCCCCCCCCCCTCGAGAAAATCCTAGATCCTCCCCTGAACCTCTGGCAACTAATATATACCTTATGGTTTTTTAATGACTAGTCTTGTTTAATTTGAACAATATTTGTTTCTCTCAAATTTCTTTGATTCACATATATTCATCTATTTTGACCTTTTAACCCTAATTCTTAGCTCAGTTTGGAAGTTCATTGAAAGCTTAAAAATTGATCCGAAAGATTTACACAAAAATGTTGTAATTGTTACACAAATATTATATTTTAATAAAAATCTGAATATATTCTGAATTCGAAAAAAACGGGTTAATTTGTCGCAGGTGACAGGGAAGGAAAACATGGCCACTGAGATTTGCCAGGAGGCGGACAAGTTCGAGGCGGACATGATAGTGATGGCCAGTACAGGGTGGGGAGGGGTGAAGAACAAGTTGCTCAAGGGGGGCGGTGTAGCTAACTTCGTAGTTCAGATGGCACTACTGCCAGTGATGCTGGTACCCACTGCCAAAAATGAGGCCAGGATGCAGGAACGAAGAGCCAGCATCAGACGAGACAGCAATTGTTCTACTTAGACACCAAAAAAACTGAAAACCAAGAAAAAATAACCATAAATAAGAATGGATGTCAAGAAAAGATAATTATTTAAGATGTACACTCATTGAAGAAATGATAAAAGACTTAGAGACTTAAGAACAATTAAATAAAGCTTACTGATAAAAACAGAATTACGGTTTAATTTGGAAATGTTTTTGTAGATTGATAGCTATGAATATTTGTAACCAAGTTAGCATCCTAACTTAATAGTGTTTGTTGTTTATTAGTAAATTGATGGTTTTTTTCTGTACTGTAAGTTTTGAAGAAATTGTTTGGACAAGATCAGAGTGCAGATCTGTTTGTAAAATTTTGAGGCAACCAAAAAGTTCTTCGAAAATAAGCATTTTCAGAATTGAAGATCCTATTTTGCGTACAATCAGGAAAATCATATGATGTGGGGGTGCTTTGAGAGATATTTTATCCTGCGTGGGTGGGGGATGGGGGTACTGAAGTACAATTGTACTTGGTTGGTTTTTTCTTCAATATATAATTTTGACGCCATTTAGTTTTGACACAATTTTTCATGCCATCTTAAAAAAAAGGGATCTCTTGAGATCAAAATTAAAAAGAACTCTCACCGAAAACTATTTATGAATTAATTTTGATTTGAAATTTGCCGTTTCGAGTTATGATAAATGTATGCTTAATTTTTATTAACGTTTGGAGTTTCATGGATAACCCCTGGAGTTTCATGCCTGGAGTTTCATGGATAACCCGCACTCACTAAAAAGAGAAATTAATCAATTATATTACAATTATAATTGTACTTTTATCAAAATTTTAATTAATGATAAGCTCCATTTTTAGATGTTTAAGCGATTTGTAATCCACTATAATGATAAAACTGTTGTTGGCTCTAAATTAAATTATAATCAATTATAAATGAATATAATTTTTCCGAAAAATTCTTACAACATTGCGACGCCAAACTGTGCACTGGATAGGAGCACAACTTTGTGTCTGTATGTTCCAGGATTCCAGAGACAATTCTTAAAACATGTCTCCGCAACAAGCAACAAGCAAATATAGCTAGTTGTTCTGGATTCCGCAACTGTAAGTGGATTCCGCAAAATGTAAGCGAAATCCGCAAATGTAAGTGGATTCCGCAAACTGTAAGTGGATTCCGAATTTTGTTCAATACTGAACTTGCACATGAACAACATAAAAAGCTGTATGGAACAACATAAAACAAATCGACAAATTAGGTCAGTATTTGGGATTGCGTCAATCCCAAATGCTGATTTTGGAAGCATAACGCCGAATAAATGCAGTAATTGTAGTCATTGGGTTGAGAGTGTACGGAAACACAACACAGAGCACGTCGCCAAAGTAGGTCAGTATTTGGGATTCCATCGATTCCAAATACTGGTCAGTATTTGGGATTGATGAAATCCCAAAAATTGGAATAATGTGGAATAAATATGGAATATATCCATTATTTGGAGTCATTAGGTTGAGTGTGATTAGAAACCCAACGCATAGCAAATCGTCAAATTAGTTCAGTATTTGGGATTCCATCGGTTCCAAATACTGGTCAATTTTTGGGATTCCATTAATCCCAAACACTGATCTATTCTAGTAAATTTCTATTCTAGTAAATTTCTATTCTAGTGAAATCAAATCATGTATTTAAAAAATATAATTCTAAAAGCTACTACCTATAGAAATATATGTAAAGGAAATCCGCAAACAAAATGCGGATTCCACTTACAATTTGCGGATTCGACTTACAATTTGCGGATTCCACTTACAGTTGCTGATTCCACAACAGCTCAATTTAACGATACAAACTTCCACAAACTGTTCTGGATTCCGCAACTACAGTTGCGGATTTCGCAAATTCGACTTTTTTTCGAGCGATTTTGAGCAGTACAATGATTTAGATATTTGTTTGTGGAATCCAAAACAGCATAGAAGATCAAAGAAAAGTAGCAATGTTGCCGATTCCCAGACAAATCTGACTTTGGCCTGTTGCGGATTCCGCATACAATGCAGAGAATGCACAGTTTGGCCTCGTAATGAATCTCTTATAACCTATTACAATAGATTATAATCCCTTTTATTGTCAAAATATTATCACAAAACAAAAATCATTTATAGAAATGAACTATAAAATAAATTAGCTATTTTGTCAAAAACAATGTCTAAAATAAGATGACTTGTCACATTTTGGTTCATCTGAGCACAAAGTTTTAGCTCGAAACAAAATTTTTACAGATATCCCTTTAATTTAGTTCAAAAGTTCACGCGGTAGGTGAAAAATAACCAATCGAAATAATTCAGCAAACTAAAGCAATGTGCTGATATTTTGGTGGTTGAAAACTCAAAATGTGCATCTTGAAACAACTCTAATCGGGAACAAATGAAAAGAAAACGTTATAAATTTTAATTGATTTGAACCCTGCTGAAACAAGTTTTTCATTTTTCACATAAACCAATCTCTACGAAAAGGATAAAGCAAAAGCAATACAGAAGCAAGATTGAAGACGAAATGAGCAAAAAAAGGATCATAATCAGTTTTTATCTATTATATTCCGCTATTATCTATTTGTGCAAACCGTATGATGTACAAATTAGGACAAATAATCGATTATGACCGTATCAAATAACAGTATCAAAAGATGGATTAGGAATCGATTAAAATTGAATAAAACATTTTATAATTGATTATTATTTGATTTTAAAAAAATATAATTTCCTAATTGAATAAAATCGGTTCTTTTTTCAGTTTTTGTAAGACTGCTACTGAAACCATAAAATAATCGATCATTAACGCTCAAAACTGGATGCAGGAACATTCAGTGATGTTGGATTTTCATGGTCGGTCCCTAAAAAAATCAAACTGGTTCATTGAAAACGAATATAAATTGATTACACAGAGGCAAAGTTGACCTTCGCAACAGTTGTGATGCAACAATGGCAGCTAATAGAAAAAAAAAACACAAAAGCTACCAAGTGAAAAAAAAAAGCTGGAATGCTGGAAAAACATCAGTGGAAATTTTAAAGAGGCAAAAGTTTTTAAAGAGGCAAAGATTTTAAAGAGGCAAATCTAATTTCGCTTTTTAACGACGTAAGATGACAACCGATATAACAAGCATTTTTTTTTCATTTTTTAAAAGACGATATCATCTTCTTGAGCCGAACATTACCTTAAACTACGATAACTCTGCTATTATTTAAATGAAAAAGTACAAAAAAAATACAGAACAATAGAAGTCAACCAGCGCATCAGGAAATACAAGTTTTTTCTTTCAAAACAGTAATTTTCTAAAAATTTGAGCGAAGTTTATGAAACTATTTTACCTTTTGATATCACTTAACACTTCATAACTCCCAGACTGCATCCCTTGCATAAAATTTTTACTAGCAAAACTATAGGCTAAAAAGCACTCTCTACTATGGAAATTTGTGGAAAAGAAAATTATTGAAAATTATTCAAGCTCAAAAACGATTGTTTTTTGGCGTGTGCTCACCTCATAATTAGTATAAAAAGTAGCAAAAATTTTAGCCCCGTTACCATCTGAAAGTACGGTCCTTTGGATGTGGATGAAGAAGAAAGCCTGACTGAAATTGAACTTGCAAATCTTAATCAATTATTTAGTATTTGATCGTTTTTGATGAATTCAAACAAAATTCAACTGCTGTCTTTGTTTTCGTCTGTTGTCGTGGTTTGTTCCGTTGGTTTTTCTACTTGCTCCTCTTTTTTGGGACTTTCAGTAGTTGATTTTCGACTAACTCTTCTCGACCTCCTTCTCACTTTATTCTTATTGTTGCTTTCGCTGATTCAAAAAGTTCTCATGGGACCCACAAACTAGAATTTTAGAAAACAAAAAACTTTTAGAAAACAAAAAGTTGTCTGAACAATTGTCTGAATACTTCAAAGCCTGTATAATTATAAAAATTTCAAACTGATTTTTATGATCTCGCCTAAAAATCAAGCATGACAGTTTACGGCGTAAAGTGATAATAAACTTTGAAAAATTGTGTAACAGTTTTGATATTTTGTTGACAACTTCTCTATTTTTTTTTCGGTTTATCTGTTCATGTTGAAATTCACGCGGAACAGCTTTGATTTGTCGTGAAGTTTGAATGGTTTTTTTTTCATTTCATGCAAATTTGATAAACATTTGTTCCCATGAGAAAGATTTATTTGCTTGGCCAAATACCTACACTGCAGAGCTCTCTCCCGTAGCAGCTGTGTAATCTTTCTCATCATCACCCTCCCCTTTTTTAGCCGCCGCTGGTTGTTCATCTTCATTCTCCTCTCCCCCGTCCGATGCCCCTCCCCTCTCTTCTTTGTCAGCGTCTGGACTGGCTGACCTCGCCTTTTCATTATCTTCGTCTTCGTCTTTTTGGTCTGCTTTGCCGGAAGTATCGCTCTTCACAGAACGTTCCGGAGGGTCCGACTGGTCATTATCTTCATTAGCCGCGGCAGAACCTGCACAATTTAATGTAACATTTTCTACGCTAAACAAACTTTCTCAGCAATTTTTTCATATTCGCCGCGTCACGTATTCAAATGCTACTACTTGATTCGAATCTGCTTGAGTTTGAGTTTTTATAATCACAATATGAAACAGTTTGAGCTGGCTCATAATTTATGGACTAGCAAACTGAATAAAATTTGTTAGTCAAAAACGGATGATCATGAAAAAACCGGAAGCCACTAGTGATGATGACATGTTGATGGTCCGATAATAGCCTGAACATTAAGTTCAAGTAAACGAAACAACAGATCAACTAAACGCAGTAAAATTGATCGTTAGAAGTTAATTCCATGGAATAAATTTCCCCAAATGTGTTTCAAATTTTTTCATAAATTTTGTTTTTTGAATGATTTTTGTTTAATTGAAATATTTGCAGTTGAATAGTAAAAACCATTTGTGGGCTGGAAAAATTTTATGGCTTTTCCCCGTTATTATACTACTCCCCACAGTATTCGTAGATACTTAACCAGCGGTTAGTTATTACTGGATTGATTATCCGTTAGCAGGTACCGTTATGAGGAATGTAAATGACATTCTAAGAAAACCCTAATTGAGTTTGTTATAACCTGTAGCAGCAGCCATAACCGGAACCGGTGGGTAGGGTACAGACTGTCCCCCCGTGTTATCCGTCGGGTAGGGTGGGTTGTTAGCAGGGTACTGATTGTTGCTGGCGTCAGGATATCCCTGGTTAGGAGGGTACGGGTACTGGCCAGGGTACGGGTTCTGGTGGTACTGGGGGTTATTTGGATCGAAGGGAAACTTT